GGTCATGTCGTTCGAATGGACACCGACGCTCCAGCTCTGAAAGTATTCAACTCGGAACCCGCTGCTGCGATGGAAAGATCAGGTGGAGAAGGACTTGGCTTCACTTGGCGTTTCCAATTGGCATCAGTTGGCACAGAGGAGAAACGACTGGCGTGCTTTGCTGAACTCGGCCAAAATCGCTTAGGCGGTTACAGCGCCAAAAAAGAAGAAGAAGAGGTTACCTTTCGAATAGCGCCCGCCCTTCCTATTACGTCAATGAACAGAGGGCCGTAGGCAGCCCCACAAAGAGTTCTGCAGGCTCCAAGCCGCAGATGAAGTTTTCGGTAGTAGGAATGCAGTTGCCTTTGAGTATGCGATTTCATCGCAAGGCAGTTATCACCGCAACACATAGTCTTCGGTGGACGGCCGCCTCCCATCGATACGAGCGAATTGTAACTCCCGCGCGAAACTAGATTCACACTGGAGCAACTCAGATCTGGCTGGTGCAGTCGCCTAAACTCATACAGAACCAGATTAGACACGGAGATCGCCGACACCTGCCCAGCATGCGGAACCGGTCCGCACCGCAAGGTTGGAGAAGTCAATTCGGGGTCTACGCGCTGCTACAACAACAACAATGGAATTCACGCAGTGAGACTAAATATTTATAACAAAAGATTTACACTGTCTCGATTGGTTGGGGTCTTATGTGACTGAACTTTAAACTTTTTAGGACGTTAGTCGGCAGCGAATCTTGTGCTAAGAAGCTTAGAATTTACTATGCATAATATAGAGGGTCATTCACTTTGGTCTAAAATAAGCTAGTCCGTGCATCATACATAGAGCTTACGAACGAATTGGACGTTTTTCAAGAATGCAGAGACATACAAAAAATTACAAAGAACTTAAAAAGTTCAAATTTTCAGCTTTGAGAGTAAAACAAAAACAAAAAATTTCAACTCGCAAAAAATATAACACGCGTTGAGAATCTGGCAAGTCGCTGAAAGTTACGAAAGTAATATAGTTACACAAAGAAATTTACACGAAAAAACTGCGCGCTAAACGAAGCTACAATGGAAGTCTCGCAAAAAATACCAAATCGCTTGCAGCACTTCAAAAAAATTTTGAACGCCTTTCTGACACTTGCAGATCGTGCATATGCCGTGCAGACTGTGTATGTTTGTAGCTGTCAATTTGGCAATTATTTCATATTTTCTGTCCCATACATAAAGAACGCAAACATCAAGCTGTGAAGCTGTGTTTTTCTGTGATCTGTTTAAATTTTGTGTTTGATAAAGCTGTTTACGCTTATTAAAGTAAAAAAAGTGTTAATAAACTTCTGGTGCACAATTTAAAGATAAGTAAAACATCAAAATTTCCCGCAAATTTGATTAATTTAACTTGATATTCTTAATTGTATGTGCCGAGTATTTTGTTTCATATAATATATTGTTGTTGTACAATTATTTTTGTTTGTGCACATTGATTTTGCTCATTTTGTCTTTTTGTCATTTCTGCTGTTTCATCTTTGTCACAGCTGTTTGCGTTGTGTTTATTAGGTGTCAAATATATAGAGCATTTAAAACTGTTCGCTAACTGATATTTACCAGCTGATTGGTTCACTGATTAATACATCGTTTTCAAAACCGTTTTTGCTTTGTTGCTTCTAAAACCTAAAAATAAATATAATTTAAACATGTCGTTTATTTACACCAATTGCCACGTTAAAAGCGACTCCTGTGTGTCATGCTGGCTCTGCGGTGGGATTGCCCATATAAAATGTGCTGGTTTGAGCGGTAGAGTATTAGACGCTATTAACGAGGGTAAGGGTCTTTGTTGGTCTTGTCAAAAATGTAGATCAACCGAAGTTGATTTATTTAAATTCTTCAGGCAGTCCAGAAATGGTTTTTCTGAGATCCGGAAGGATCTGTCGGCGCTTGTTGAGAAATTTAAGCATTACGAAAAAATGTTTAGGTCTTTCACTTGTCTCGACAACCCTCCACACTCTGAGGATATCCGAGAAAATAAAGGTGGGCATGTTATTAGTCCACCTAAAGAGACAGCCACGGATTCTAGTAAAAAAAATCCTCCATCCCAGTCCTTAGAACTTATTAATTTATCTTCTCCATGCCCTCAGGCATTGGAGCCTCCGATTTCTAAAGCCATATCCACTAGGTCTACTTCTAAAAAGAGTCAAACCGTTGATTTAACAGTGTTGCCATCAACATCTCAAGCTCCACTGTCTAACTTAGTTCCTCCGAACTCCGGAGCCCCGCACATCAGACATCATTACCAAAAAGTTGGTTGTAATTCCTCCGAGAAGATCAATCTTTGTCTCTAGATTTGCAAAGGATACTTCTTCGGATGATATAAAGTCATACATATCGACTAAAATTAGAACTAAAGATGAATTTATTCGTAAATTTAATTTTAAATACGATCGCGATATTTCATCTTTTAAAATTGATGTAGCTTCCGAAGATTTTGATTTACTACTAAATAGTTCATTTTGCCCGACCGGGGCGTTTGTTCGCGAGTTTGAGTATAAACCTAATAAAAGTAATAATAACGTAGCTAAAATTTCTAATCTTAATTCGGATTGAAAAAACTAACTCGCAAGTCTAATTTAAGTATTTACTATCAAAACGTTAGAGGTTTGAATACCAAATTAACTGACTTATATTTAAAAGGTTTTGACTGCAATTATAATATTTGAACGATCGGTGAACCAGTGGGTCGCAACTCCCGCAGTGGCACCAATGTCAATTGAAAAAAGAAAAAATGGAAAAAACACAACCAAGTGTATTAGTGTATAATAGCTTGAATTTCAAGTGGCTTTATTATCAAATAAATCAGTGGGTGTACAATGTGATTGCCTTTTAATATGTATCGCTGGGTGATGGCTGAAGTCGTCCGGTCTCCTTGATAGCTCGAATGAAGTGAAAAGGTCCCGCTTTGACAAAGTTAAGTTTACCCGCCGGCAGCCAACTGCTCGGAGGGGAAACTTAACGAAAGTATGTTACAACGGGAAATAATACATTTATTGCTAACGGCGTAGCAATAAAGGTAGGCCGTATATATGCCTGAGTGTGTTTGTGTGGTCGGCTCAAGTCAATGCACTTTTACATTAGGGTGGTTCGACCTTTAAATCATTTGGTTTTTCATGAAGGCCTAAACATGCCGGCCCCCCTTGCTATCAGCAACATCGGTCGAGCGCTTCAGCCACCACGCCGGACTGAGTACTAAGAAGTAGAAAAAAATAGTCTAAATATATGTAAAATAACAATTCATTTGAGAAAAAAAAGATTATTATTGTTTCCAGTGGCAGGATGCCTCCAAGTTCCGGTGGTCCACGTCTTAGTTTCCTAGCTAATGAAGGAATAAAAGGAAGAAATACTAATGAAAAAGGTATGGTTGAACATTTCAGAGCACATTTATTGATAAAAAATTTTAAAATTCAGTAAAAAATTCATGTTTACAAAAAAAATCAAACATTGAATTTAGGAGCGACATACTCCTGAGAGCATCCATCCAAAAATTGTGCTTTGGGCGATAAAGGGACCAAACGTGTTTGGGAGCATACCCGGCAGTACGATGTCTGGGTATACGTCGGCTCCCAGTACTAAGCGAATCGGTGTCGACGTATAAAAGTTTGGATCCGCTAATCGTATGTGCGTATACGCTGTCGCTACTGATGGATCGACGCTACTAGTAGGGCTGACACGGACGTAATTGTTTATCGTTGTGGCGTGGATAGCCAACCTGGTGTTCTGGCCGTGTTTTCCCCTCAGACGCAGTAGACAGCCACGTTGGGTTCCGAAATTTGAAACGTCAAGCCTGAGTTTTACCGCTAAATCTGTCGCAATTATAGAAGTCGGAGAGCATACGTCGATCAACGCGCGTATAAGGTGCAGCCGTCAACGAGCTTCTATTTTTACCACGACCGTCGGAGCAATAGACGTCACCGGTCGTAACGCTTGGGTTTCGCGTGCGAGTCGACCCGCTCGAAATGCGATGGATAGCTGGCGAGGCCTCGTCTCCAGTCTACCCTGATCGCGATTGGGCCTGTTTGACTCCTCTCGCTTTTGCCGCAGGCGGAAAGGCCTAGTTTCCGCTCTACGGTTCTGCCGGGCTGTTGACCGCGGTCGGAAAGGCCGTGTTTCCGATCCACGTTCTCGGCGTCGTTCGTGCTCTAACAGGGGTCGGAAAGGCCGAGTTTCCGATCCCCTCGTTATAGTCGGGAGGGGAGTCCCAGATTCCGGTGTGGATTCTGCTGGTTCATCTTCTAGGCGGAGCGGCCTGGTTTCATCCGCATGGTCGGACGCGTTGATAGATAACGCGCGTTCGGACTCGTCCTCACTAGCAACTTGCTCGCTCCATGGGTGTGTATCAATCGGCTGAAGGGGTTCGGATTCGTCATCCATATGCAGCGTTGTGTGGTGTTTTTCGCGGCACCGACGACATCTTTCTTCGCTCGTGCACTCGTCAGACCGATGCATCATGGACAGGCAGTTTCCGCAGAAGCGACCAATCAGTGCCTCCCTCAGTCTCTCTTCGGGAGTTTTACCGCGGAATGATGGGCAGAGCCGTATCGGATGCATACCTTGGCATAAACGGCACGCTAGAGCAAAGCGGTTTGATTGTTGCTCGGCCTTCTTTCTCATCGAGGTGAAGCGAGTCATCGTTGATGTCTGAAATCATTATTTTTTCCCTTTTGTGTATATTTGGCTATATAGATATACGTACTTGTATATATATGTATATTATGGTTGGGTGGCGAGTAGCAAAGAAACTTTATTATGTGTGGTTATTGTAAATTTCGTATATTTTATGGTACGGGTGGTCTCATATATCACTGTCTTGTGATAGTGTATAGTGTGCATAATATTGCATGAGTTTTGCGTAAAGTGTGTGGGGCACCTCATGTTTATGCATCGACACACGGTTATCTACTTTGATTTCTGTGCTCGCATCGGTGAGCTGTCATTTTGTTAATTTGTGTAATTACACATCCTGCCACCCAAAACAAAAGTAAGGAAGTAAGGGCAACCAAAAAAATCGCAGATAGCAAGTGGGCTGGAACGCCTGACAACTTGATTTAAGGTAACTAAAAACATGCATAGTATTTGTTGATGAGCCTTGTAAACAATAAATTATAGGTCCGGAGCAAATCGGCAATGCAAACTAATCACAAGCCTGAGGGATTTTGTGTTTGTAAGGCGTTGCAGTTTTATTGGATCCTAAGAAGCAAAACAATAACCTCATGGCCCATTACAATGTTAATAGCAAACAAATACATTGGGGAAAAGGCAGCAGCAGAAGCAGCAACAACAAACAACAAATCACGATATCTCTTTTAGGCCATTTAGTTAAGTTTTCACATTTTATTTATAAATGCTTTAGTGACTGCCAACTTGGCTGTGGCTAACAATGTGGCCGTCTTGATTTTTATACAAAACTATATTGAGAACAAAAACTAAATGCTTCATTTCGATAAATAAACCGATTCAGATAAAACGTTAGAACAAAGTATGAATTTAGTGTAATTACATGGCCTGCCACCCAAAACAAAAGTAAGCTCATTATTTGTTCGCATGGTGCGGAACATCGCAAGTGCTTATCAGCGTGCGAAAATAGGTTGTACAAAACAATACCCATTTGCTCATCGATCATCATATCATTTGTAGTTTTATACAGTTTTGTACATAGTCAGAACCAACTTGTAAGATTCACTTTCATTTTCCCCAACGAGAGACTGTTGCTTTTCGTTTGTGAGAATGGTACCATAGGGTACGTTTTATATGTATGCAAACGTTTCGATTACGTGAAAAATATATTTCTTTTTTCGTAAATTTTCATATTCAATTTAATTAAAAGACATGTACTACATACATACATATCTTTTTCTCTGCACAATTCATTTCGTTTGTTGTTTCGTCTGTAACTACTAAACTACTGTAGTGTACTATCGCAAAGTAAACTCAGCCGTTTTGTTTTCGTAGTGCAACGAACTCTTGAAGGAATAAACGAAATGAAATAGTAACGTGCATTATAGTTTATTTTCGTACACCGGTGCTTATATATGTGCTTGGGAGTATCACAACTTAATGCTTTATTTGAAAATTACTAAGTTGGAGGGCCCTTCAAAATTTAATAACTCATGATTTTATTAAAAAGGAAAAGCATATTTAATACGCTGTGCTTTGTCCCGAGCAAATCTAAGTAGTTCGCCGGTATCGAGTTGCGTAGTAGATTTTCAGTTTACCGATCGTAGGGGAGTCCGAACCCTGGCTGCGCTGTCAACCAAGAGCGTAAATTGAAATTTACGTTCTTGTATTAGAGATGTGCTGAGTTCACACATATGAGTATTCATACCTACTCGGTACCTATTTAAAAGTATCCAATACTTTCGACACTCGGTGTCGGACTATTAAACAACTTCTAACAAAAGCGCACGACAGCCAAACGTATGGAAGAAATTTTTAGAGATAAAGCTCATTAGCGAACTTTGAGGCGATGTCTTACAAATTCCAATTGGAATAAATAAATGAATATGTATACATATATATATATATATATATATATATATTATTATTAATTTTTTTTTTTTATATTAAGGGGCTATGTACGGAATTCTTTGTGAATACTGAGTCCACAGCGCCTTCAGGGAGTACAGAACAAAAAATAAATAACTGAAAGTCATTCGTTGTCGAATTCCAGAGAACGCTTCATTTTTATGTGAACCTTTATTATTCTTTTGAAAAAAAAAAACAAAATGGATGGGTCCGAAATTGTGCACCAGGTGATTTAAGTGTACTTATATTACTACTAAGGTATATTGCATTGAATCGGTATCGGTTACCAATACCGAAACTTAGGGTACCGAGTATTGGGGCAACTCTGCACATCACTATTTTTTAAAAATGACACTTTCATTTTGATGGCAATTGCAGCACATATCACAATTTCCTGAATGGCACGAGTGATTACGATGCGGTAAGTTGCGTATTTTTCTCATAGTATTTTAATGTGATATTTTTTACCTTCTACTTTTAGCTTTCTTTGGAGATATTCCACCCAAAACCCTCATTCATCCAAGTACGGCATATTTACAACTCGCAATCGAGTTCGCCTGAAGGATGAATGAGGAATTATAGTATGCTGAATGGAAGTGCGTGGCTCTTGGGAACTTCTGGTATGCAGGCGATACTCGCAGCACAAATTCCTCTCGGAAAAAGCCAACCATTGAAGTATCGTGAAATATGAATTAATATAATATGAATCTTTTATGTAAACCCTATTATCTTACTAATATCTTTTCGTTTCCATTTCAGATGATGCTGGATTTAGCTAAAAAGTGTTTGCAAAATAGCGCACAACAAATCATGCATTTGGCCAAAACTTTTGTATCGATTGTGCGAATTTGAAGTCTTGCAGGATCTGTATCGCACATATTATGACATACGTGTTTATTCATCATTACTCCATGGTTATGAGCAGTGTTGCCAGAACTTTTTGGGCCGACCGGCTAGATTGGCAAAAAAAAGCGGCTAAAAACGGCTAAAATGTTTTAGTGAAATTTCACATAGACTCTGGCAAAAAACGGCTAAAATGTTTTAGTGAAAATTCACATGCTTTATTTAAATAAATCGCAAGAAACGAAAGACTAGTTAACACCATTAATTTATATCGAGTGTATATTCCTCATCATCAAATGAGTCACTAATGTATATATCACCTGAATTCATTAATTTTAAGAGATCGTCATCTACAGTAAAATTATGGCAGCATTTTTCTTCACGTTTTAAACCGTATCTTATATATAAAATAGCGTTTAACGTTTTAACGCACATTGGATTTCTTTACTTAGTTTTTATTATATTCATTGAACTAAATATTCGCTCTACTTCTGCATTACTTATAGGCAAAACAAGAAAACTAAAAACTAGGTTGCAAAGGTCAGCGAAAGGGTTTTCTCCTAGGGCATTTCGAAATTGACACCCCTATTGCGAATGTCGACTGGCAGTAGATAAACGACTATTAAGCGATTATCGATTATCGATGCTATTGCGAGTGTCGCTTAGTCGCTCAATTAGCGACTGTGAATACTTTTTAACGTACTGATGCAGGAGAGTGAAGACATAGGCAAAGGAATTTCCGGAAAGAGTAGTGTAGGAAGCTGCGCTTCTATTGGAAAAGATACATATACAATATTTCTTGTGCATATAACTCCGGCTACGCCATCCACAGTGTTTTTGCGCAGAACCAACATCAAAAGTTTATACAAAAAAACTGCATAATTTATTAATTGACTAGTGCTCGGAAATTTGAAATCTTTATTTTAAATTAAAGTTGAATTCTTTCAATACACTTGTTATTGTTGGCAACCCTTGCATTTGCAGTTGTCTGGCAAGCATGCATGCAACGCGCTATTAGTTAACAGAGATGATGCAATAATCTAATGTTATTTCGTAAGCAAAATGCAATGTTCATTTTGTATTGTATGTTAGGTTTAACCAGAGAACTTAGATAGATAGAGAAGGTGCAAATTTTTGGAACGTAAAATTGTTTGGCTGAAAAATAAATCCATGGAATATCACCACAGCGCGATTAACATTTTAACAAGAGTTAACAGAGAAAAATGTAAATTTGTGTTGTGATAATGTTATATTTGTTGCAAGCGTCTGGCTATGTGTTGCTAGGTTGCATATGAATGCAGAAACGTATTCATGTATATTTTTTTTTATAAAATTAATAAATTAATATAGTTAAATTATGTATATTAAATGTACTTTTATATTAGTTAGAATTGCTGATTTGCATCTCTGCATGACCATTTGTTAAATATAATTTATTCAGTAGTTAATGTTGCTAAAAACTTAAAAAGCATCTGTTCAAGTTCGCTTCTTGTACGAGTATTATATCATGTAAATAGTAAAAATGCATGTTATTTAAAAAAATGATAAAATTGGTTTTTTCACATACTCACTTTAAAGATGGACGCATTAACAAAAAAATGTATAAAGCAATGTGTTTGTTAACTTCAAAATTAATTTTCGAAGATATTGGCCAGGCAATGCTTTAACTCCAAAACGTAGATTTGTTATCTAATAAATATATGAAAGCTATGCAAATATGCAAACTCATTGGTGATTTGCCGTCGGCATTTGGGTCGCAAAAATCGTTTTTTTTTTTTAACGATTCTTATTGTAGTTGCTACGCTATTTTCAATGCAACAAATCCCAGTTTTCTAACTGCCTTAGTTTTTTCACAAACTCACTTTAAAGATGGACGCATTAACAAAAAAATTTACAAAGCAATGCACTTGTTAACTTCAAAGTTGTTTTTGACTTTTACTGCAATATTCGTAGATATTATTTGTAAATAATAGTTCTGGAGTCAAATGCAAATCCATTTCCCAGGCATGCGCATATGGATACTTGTAGTACATACAGATGCGATCAACTAATTAGCAACGAAATTCAAAATGATATTGTTTGCAAATTATGTTTATTATTTATTTTTAATAATTTCCTTTAAAACATAATTCAATCTATAACAGAAACCACAATAATAAAAGTTTAAAAGCTTGCACAATTTGCAAAATAATTAATCAAACTTCAAAAACTTGTTATAAAAATTTAAAAAATTTTAGTTAGAATATTTAGAAAATTTTCGGGTATGCAGCTTTGTAGTCCATTCAATCAAGTACACTAAAGTCCAAGTTTCTAGTCGTTAAAAATTACCGTTGATTTCTTAGAATTTTTTTTTATGGAGGGTGTTCGCATTTTCTTCCATATAACACATGAACCAATTTTTTTTTGTATGAAAAATAAACAGCAACACCCCAACAAAAAAATCTAAAAAATCAACGGTAATTTTTAACAACTTGAAACTTGCACTTTCTTATAATATAGTTGAATGGACTACAATACTGCATTCCCGAAAATATATTAAATATTCAAATAAAAAATTTGGATGACCATTTCTTGAAGGTTGATTCATTTTTTTGCAATTTGTGCAAGCTTTTAAACTTTTATTATTGTGGTTTCTGTTCCAGATTGAATTATATTTTAAAGGAAATTATTAAAAATAAATAAACATAATTTGTTGATGGCAGCTGAATGTATGTATGTATGTACTTACATATGTAAATATGTACCCCATACACATACTCCAAAATCATTTTTTGA